AGCGAATAGGAAAATAATATATATAGTTATTTATATAAATACATATATATATATATATATACATATGGAAGTATCGTATGCATGATCCTTGGGCCCAAACGAATCTACATCCCCATACCCGAAGGCTTCATGTACCCATATAGTGGGCACTTAGGCCTCAAAGCACCTATATTATAGCGACCCCTTTGAGGCCTGGACCCTGGGTTTTGGGTTTTGGGTTTAGGGTTTTGGGTTTAGGGTTTAGGGCTTAAGTACCTACAGTATTGGCACATGGAGCCTTTGGGATACTAGGGTTTTGGTGGTCCAGGTAATCTCTGTTCTGACCGGCGGAACATGCGAGCTTCAGAAGCTCAATGCCTGGCCCTAAGCCCTGGACCCTATAAGCCCTAAGGCCCTAAACGCCGTAAAGCCCTGAGCCACATAAGCTTTTTTCCAAGAAGCCATGAGACCCATACACCCTGTACTGCTTCACGGACTTGATACTGTATGAAGACGATATTCATCTGTATGTGGGTTCAGGGCTTAGGGTTTAGGGTTTATAGGGTTTAAGGCAACACATAATCTATGGGCAGGCTATGTACTGCATAGATGGTTTGCACGGATGTGTATCTGTTTCTGCAGTTTGGCTGAACAGCACGACTTGGAGCCTCATCTAGACGAAGCGACGCCTGAGGCCCTGGACCTAAAGCCCGACACGTAAACCAATGCACATACACCCAACCTGACGCCCTAAGCCCCAACACCCACAGCTAAAAAACCCAACACTGACTCTATTACGCTTCAACCTTAGTTAAGCCGAAACCACAAGGCCCAATCCCGAACAGCGGCACCGTCAAGCAAACAAACCACACCCCATTTGTCTCTCCGGTATTCTCGAAGTATCCCTAAGGGTCCATGTACCCAAATAGTGTGTGTGTGTGTATATATATATATACACACACATACTTTGGCCTCAAAGTATTTAAACAGGACTACTTTGGGGGGCCAAAGTATATGCTATTTGCCTACATGGGCCCTTAAACCCTTAACCCTATAGAACCCCTTGAAGCAACCCCTACCTAGACCCTCAAAAGTAAGTAAAATAACGGCCCAAAACTTTTGGCTGTTATTCTACATATTTTGGGGGTCCAGGTACTAGCCCTTAGAGGGGGCCATTAGGGTATGCCCCCTCGCTTTCCTCCTATCGGAGCGCCGAGTCCGAGGAGCGGGTGTTATGATTTAGGGTTTCGAGGGTGGTTTAGGGTTTAGGGGTTTAGGGTTTAGGGCTATAGGGTTTAGGGATTTAGGGTTTACCCTAAGGCTCCAAACAGGGTCTTGGGCCTTCTGGGGGAGGGTTTTGGCTTTGGGGGCCAGGGTTTGGGAGCAGGAGCCTTAGGGTAGAGGGTTTAAACCTTCGGATCCATTTGCCCACATGGGCAGTTCTTTAAATTAGGGTCCCTTTTTTACGTCCCCAGAATAATTAGTACGGCACCCCTATGCAAAGAACCTTAAAAGGGACGCTAGCTTAGAGAACTACCCATATAGTATACGGCTTGGGGTTTGGAGTTTTGGGTTCAGGATTCAGGCTTCAGGTTTCCGAGGGTTCAGAGCTGGGTTTAGGCTTCAGGGTTTGGGGCTTAGTAATTAGGGTTTAGGGTTTAGTTAGAGTTGGTTTAGGGTTCAGGGTTTAGGCTTCAGAGTTGGGCTTAGAGCTCAGAGTTTGGGGTTTACGGTTCAGGTTAAGGGCTTGGAGTCGGGTTTACGGTTCAGGTTTAGTGTTTGGAGTCTCGTTTACAGTTTGGAGTCCAAGGTGTAGAGTCAAGGGTTCAGTGTTTAGACATGAACAGGAACACGTCAAAGCCAATAGGGTCTATCTATACCACTGACTGCTGATTTTGGAATGAGGTCTCCGAACCATGTATAAGTATGTAAGTGCGTAGACCCTCTTGGTATGGCAGCTGGACATCCTTCCGCACATCACAAGACATCCTATGTTCTCGGTTCAGGCTTTGGGTTAGGGGTTTAGGGGTTTCGGGTTTAGTGCAAAAGTACCCATCTGTAAATCCGTTGTGTTACCTCTCAAGATTCCTGTTAACCGCTGTGGGTAAAATAGTTTTTCATGGTAGCGCGAGCCCGTGGCGGCAGCAGCTCCTCGAGACGCTCATCGGAAGCTCTTGACCGGCGCGCGCCACGTAGGCAGTGGGCTGAGTCGTTGGCACTCCCTGGATCTTCTGGCCGCGGTAAGGGCAAGGGGAAGCACGGACGTGGGGAGGTGCACGGAATCCCTGAGCCCAAGTGTACATCGGAGGTCGTTCGCTTCGTTGTTGCAGGCTCTACAGCAAGGGCCATCAGTTTGAGTGGACCAGAGGATCGAAGGCGGCCGTCGGAGCCAGCGGGACCCCATAGAAAGCGATCGTGTGTTCAGCCAGTTACGCCTCCGAAGGCACAACCTGAAACTCCTCCAGAAGCCTTTGCAACTCCAGATCCAAGCGCATATCCGAGAGACCCGCGTGCGCCCAGTACACCACCAGAAGCCTTTGATAGCGACAGCTCTTCTTTGCTGGATACAAATCCTCCTAAACGGGAGGCAGTTGCAGCATCATCTTCTTCGTCGAGCGCCCCTGTTGCCACTCCTAGGCCTTCTGATTCTTCGCCGCCTGCTGCGAAGGGTTGTGCGGCAGATCGTGCGAAGGCTAGGGCAAAGGCAAAGGCCAGCGTCGCACCCATTTCTCCGCCTGCGCGGCCGGCACAATAGTTGCTGGGGCGTACAGCGGAAGGACAAAGTACTCAAGGGACCGCCTCTCCATCAAAAGGTTGGGAGCGGCAAAGTTCGGTTGTGAATCGTTGTTTGATTGATCGTTTGACTTTGAAGGGATGGACGCTCAACAGGTTCAGCAGTTGCAACAGACAATTACAGCAATGCAGCAAGAGATAGTGACGCTAAGGGCGCAACAACAGCAGACAGAGCAACAACAAACAGGGGTCGCCACATTAGCAGCTTCAGTGGCAGAGTTGGCGAAGGCACTCAGAGAGAAAGACGACAAACCCAACACACCCAAAATCCTCTTTGATACCAAAGCCCTTGGAAGACCCGAAAAGTTCATAAACAGTGAGGATGAGTTTAGGCGGTGGAGCCGGTCTGTTACGAATATGGTTGTTTCTGTATTCGGGCGTAGTTTCGAGGAGGTTTTGGAGTGGGTCATTGAGCAAGAAGCAGAGGTAGGCAATGGTGATGTCGATCTCCAGTTTGGCCATTTCACAGCTATGAGCCCCGATGGGATTGAGCAACCCACAACGGAGGCCCCGGGTGTAGAGGACATCGCCGAGAAAGGTGATCAACTCTGGCGCCTACTTCAACATCTGTGCACGGTAGAATCCGAAGGGATTGTAGTGAATGCTACTGGAGGATACGAAGCTTGGCGACGCCTGCATCGGAGATTTGATCCCCTTTCGGCAGGCCGGAAGCGCAACTTGTTGAGGGCAATCCTTAATCCTGTGAGGGTTAAGGGTTGGGAAAACGTACGGTTGGCGATGGACCAACTAGACGATTTGATAAGGAGGTATGAGGCTCGAAAGAATGATTCGGGGCACAGAGAAAAGTTGAGCGATGATTTGAAAAGTACGGCTCTAGAGCTCCTCGTCCCCACCGATCTCGAGCAACACCTTATCCTCAACAAGAAGCGGCTATCAAGTTACGATGCCATGAAGCAAGAGATTCAACAGTTGGTTGAGGTAAAGACGAAGGGAGCGGTAGACCAACCAGGCAAGATTCTCGCGCCGTCAGCTTCGTCACAAGGCCCATCTCCAATGGAGGTAGATTCACTCGTCAAGGCCTTAGGTTCCCTTATCAAGGGGAAAGGAAAAGGCAAAGATAAAGGGCCTAAAGGTAAGAAGGGCAAAGGTAAAGGGGGAAATGGCTCAAACAAAGGCTCAAACAATGATGGCTCAAAGAAGGGAGGCCAAGGCAAAGACGGTAAGCCCAAATTCCAGGGTACATGCCACTGTTGTGGCAAAGTGGGACACAAAGAAGCTGATTGTTGGTATAACAAGGCGGGAACAGGAAGCGCGGACAAAGGCAAAGGGAAAGGAAAGACACCGAAAGGTGGAAAGAGCGCCGCCGCACTCGATGAACAGACCGCGGAGCCCGCACAGGAGGACGAGTTGGGCGCGGTAGAGTTGTGTGCGGTAGACAGCGTTCCGATTGACATGGGCACGTGGCTCAAATTCAACTATGATACGGGAGCAGCTCGGACTGCAATCCCAGAGAGTTGGGAAGACCGTGCAAAGCCCGTTAGCGGACCGAGTCTAACGTTCAAAACGGCAAGTGGCGAGCTCATCAACAGCAAAGGTTCGTGCAAGGTATCGGGTCGTGACGAGAATGGCCGGATGAAGGGGGTTACAGGTTCATTGGCACCAGTTCACAAGCCCTTGGTATCAGCATACAAGTGCTGCACGCAAGGGTTTATGGGCATCATCCAGGAGGATGGTGGACACCTTGTGCCGAGAGCGAGCCCCCTAGGGAAGAAAATCCAGCAGCTGATCGAGAGGTCAAGCCCCGGAGACATGAAGGGGGCTATTCCCCTCTACCAGGAGGGAGGTGTTTACAACTTTTACTTAGAAGATGTGGGATCGGTTGATGTGGAGTCGTCCCCATCTTCGGGTTTCAGCGGGCAGCTGAAGGTGTAAGTCCCGCGGGGACTCGATGCGCCGGGTACTCATTGTGCGCCGGCGAGGTTGGCGAAGCGCGACAACAAGACGGACCATCGCCCCGTGAAGGGGTAGAGTGCGATGTGCCTCCCGAGGCTGTTGATGTAGAGGTTGCAGTTCCTAGACAGATACGATCTCCAAAGGAACCAACAACTGCAGAGATCGCGGAACACGAAGTGCTGGGACACATCCAGTATCGTGAGTGGTGTCGCCACTGTGTGGCAGCGAGGGGCATAGGCCAGCAGCACCGAAGCCGCGAGCAAGAGAAGAGAGAGTCGGATGGTTTGCCCGTGGTTGCATGTGACTACTGCTTCATGGGGCAAGATGACGGGAAGCTTAAGCCAATCTTGGTGATGAAGGATTCAAAGACCCAAGCGATAGCAGCTACTTTCGTTGAGGCGAAAGGAACAGATCCTTACGCGATCAAGTTTTGGCAAGGGTTTGTCAAACACTTGGGGTACAAAAGGTTCATTGCCAAATCCGATGGCGAAGCATCCATCAAAGCCATGAAGGCTAAGGCCATAGAAGGGTTGAAGGGGATTGAAGCTATCGCCCAGGAATCGCCGGAAGATGATCACCAGGCCAATGGCCTGGCAGAAGTAGCCGTTAGAGAGGTCAAAAGGCAAGTGCGAGTGTTGAAGAGTTCACTCGAGGAAAAGTTGGGGTTGACTCTCAAAGATGAGGACCCAATCTTGGCGTGGCTCCCCAGGCATGGGGCCGACCTACTGTCTCGGTATAGGAAAGGCGAAGACGGCCGGACCCCTGAGCAGAGACGCTCAGGAAAGGCGTGGCGTAGACCTGCGCTGGAGTTCGGCGAACGTTTGTACTACCGCGAGGCAGGGGCAAAGGGAGCGAACAAGAGCACTCTCCAGATGAAAATGCTGGAAGGAAGATATATAGGACACCATGGCGGCACGGGATCGCTATTGGTGATCACGACTGAAGGCGTCAAAAGGGCACTTGGCGTTCGACGCCTAACTCCGGAAGAGAGGTGGAAACCGCAGGGTTGGACGGACCTGAAAGGCTACCCCTGGAGTGTGGCTCACCGCGCAGGCGGGCTACACCGGTTGAATGCGGAAGGACCGCTTCCACTGCAAGGCCCGACACCCGCTCTTGCACCACCGGTGCAGCGGAGGTTGTACATACTGAAAGCGGATGTTGAACGACTCGGGCCTACTCCAGGGTGTCCAGGGTGCACTTGCGTACTCCTGGGTGAGTCAACACAGCTAAACCACACCGAGGCCTGCAGGGCTCGGATGATGGAGCTACTTGCCCAAGACCCAAAGGGCAAGGCAAGGATAGAAGCGCACGAGCTCAGAGCACAAGGGCCCAAGCCGAGAACCGGAGACGCCGCGGTGGAGCTTCCACCAGCGGTAGCGGTAGGTGAACCGGATGCTCCAGGCACTCTTGGAGCAGGGAAGAGAAGGAAGAAGAAGGGTGGAGGTAGCCCTGTTTCAGGGACCCCGCCGGTAGGGAAACAGACTCCGCAAAAGAGGATGGCGGAAGAGAGGCCGTCGGAGCTTGAGAAGACAGTTTCGGCAGACGAGCTGGCGCGGAGGTCGTACTACCGTGAGGACGACCCTTTGCCTGAGCAGAGTGAACCTAGCCAGCCTAGCGGCCTGAAGAGACCCTCCGAGAGCCCTGTTGAGGAACTGGATCGACAGAGCGCGGAGGATGTCGAAGACCTGGTTCGGGACTCACCGCCAAAGGCGGCAGACCCAATGGACGTGCAGAGTCTTAGCTCACTCAAGAAAGAAACAGCCTTACTTGTAGAGGGCATGGTTCGAAACAGGTACAGAGCTCAGCAGGTTGATGTCTCCGAACTGGAGGTTGTCAACATCGCCGCCTTGTGTACAGAGATGGCGGCTGTAGATGTAATGGGAATTTATAGTGCATCAGGTTTTTCGAAGGAAGCGCCGCGTTTAGGCCTTTTGCCTGGATACGCGGTAGATCTGTGCGAGGCCAAGCCTAGTGGAGGAGCATGGGACTTGTCTCAGAAACAAGACCTCGAAGAGCTGGAGAAGCTTATCGAGACAGAAGAGCCATATCTCCTAACAGGAGGGCCTCCGTGCGAAGCATTCTCAAGACTGCAAGACATCAACAAACCCAAAGTCTCACCGGAGGTGAGAAGGATGAGAAGGGAGAAAGGCGAACGCCACCTGCACGCTTGTATACGAATGTACCACAAGCAGATCGATGCAGGCAGGCATTTCTTGCATGAGCATCCTTGGAGCGCGGACTCTTGGTACGATCCTGAAGTGAAGGCCTTGGCTGAGAAAGAAGGAGTGTAAAGGGCCCCACGTGCAAGTGGGAGATGCAAGCGGAAGACCTGCAGGGTCTACAAGGAAAAGGGTATGTGAGAAAAGAGACGGACGGGCTGGCTTACGAACAGCGCGGCCCTAGCAGAACGTTTGGCAGAGCAGTGTCGCAACGAGACTGGAGGTCTGTGGCACCGCTATGTCCATCTCGTAGGTGGTATAGCAAGAGGTGCAGCAGTGTATCCGCCTAAACTCGTGAAGGCAGTTCTGCAAGGCTTGAAGGAACAGATGGCCCAGGATGGTCACTTAAGCTCTGTTGATGCCTATGCGGCTGGGCCAGTGCCTGAGGAACCGGCTATGCCAGCTGGAGACTGGTATCAGTACTGGGACGACGTAAACGGAGGGTATCTGGACCCAGCAGGCGTAGAAGAGGCAAGAGCGCTTGAAATGGATTATATCCACAAACAGGGAGTCTGGAAGCGAGTTCCTTTGAGCCAATGCTTGGAGGAAACTGGGAAACAGCCCATACCCTTGAAATGGGTAGACACCCAGAAAGGTGATGCTCGCAATCCGAATCTGCGATCAAGATTAGTTGTCAAGGACATCAAAGCTAGGAAATCGCCAGAAGACCAGCTAGACCCAGCCATGCTATTCAGCGCCATGCCGCCATTGGAAGCCGTGAGACTGCTGGCATCCATGCTGGTGACTAAGGGAAGATCCAAGCATGGCAGACTGCTAAGACTGGGCAGCTGGGACATTTCAAGAGCCCATTTTTATGGCAGTCCTAAGCGCAACATTTACGTGAAGTTGCCCCCCGAAGAAGGAGCATCGGACGACGAGTGTGGTCTATTATGTAAATCCATGTACGGTACTCAAGACGCGCCATCAATATGGCAGACACACTACACCCAGGTTTTAACTGAGGCAGGATGGAAACGCGGGAGAAGCAATGGTGCAGTCTTCTTTCACCCGCTGCTTGACGCAAGGGTCCTAGTCCATGGAGACGACTTTCTTTGCTTAGGAGACGACGCAGCTCAAGAAGCGTTGGATAGGACTCTAAGGGAGGCCTATGAGCTGAAGAGAACAGGCACGATAGGCATTGAAGTCGAAGGCTCCAAGAGGATCTCTTTCCTGAACAGAGTCGTCAGGCTAGAGACAATTGAGGGCAGACACTGTGCTGTAATCGAAGCGGACTCTAGACACGCAGAACTCCTCATAGAGGAACTAGGCCTGAAGAACGGAAAGGGCGTGGAAACAGCAGACGTGAAGAAGTCTGTAGACCAGCAGTTGCTGGAAGCCAAAGCTGCGGCATTGCCGCCGGACATGGTGAAGAAGTACCGCTCGTTGGTTATGCGAGCTGCATACTTGTCCCAAGACCGTGCCGACCTAGGGCACGCAGTCAAGACACTGTCAAGAAAGATGGTGATGCCTACAGAGGCAGACTGGGCGAATCTGAAGCGTGTGGGTCGTTACTTGAAGCAATACCCATACGCGAAACTTGTTTACGAAGCACAGAAAGAACCCGACAAACTCAGAGTCCAAGTGGATGCAGATCATGCTGGCGACGCTGTTACTCGGCGAAGCACCACCGGCATGATAGCTTTCTACGGAAGACATCCGATAAAGCACGCAAGCAATGTACAGTCCACCATCGCTCTGTCGACAGGGGAATCTGAATACTACGCCTTGGTCAAGGCAGGCTCGACAGGTTTAGGGATACAGTCCCTGTTGGAGGACTGGGGCTGCGAGCTAGGCGTGGCTTTGGAAACGGATTCCAATGCCGCGAAGGGCCAAGGAAGCCGAATTGGCCTGGGAAAAGCAAGGCACGTACAGACGAGATATCTTTGGTTACAGGAAAGAGTTGCAAGCGATCATCTGCGGATCCACAAGGTCCCCGGTGAGCGCAATACGAGCGACATTCTCACTAAGAGTGTCGGCGGACCGATTTTGCGCAAACACCTCAAGGTGCTCGGATATCGGCTCACTTCGACCAAAGATGACGGCCACAAAGAGTTGCTATACTGATCCCTGGCCAGGCTCCACTACCTGAGGCGATGCAGTTTACAGAGCCCAATGTTTCACTACGCTTTGTGTGGTGCTTAGAGTGTAACGCTCTGCGCACCAGAAGGGGTGCAAAAGTACCCATCTGTAAATCCGTTGTGTTACCTCTCAAGATTCCTGTTAACCGCTGTGGGTAAAATAGTTTTTCATTTAGGCTTTTTAGGGTTTAGGGTTTGGGGGTTTAGGGTTTAGGAATGTTCAGGGCTTCGGGTAGGGCAGTCAGAGTTTACCAGAATGTCTCTGCTCCGACTTGTACGCCTTTGTGGTTCGCAGTCGCGGGGGTAGGCCTCAACAAAAACCGGGCAAGTCGCTGATGAAGTCTGGTAGATTTGCCCACATATAATAAACCCCAAGGGTCCAGATACACTACCATTATGGAATTAGGTCGCCAAAGCTATAACAGGGATGGTCGTTTAGGACCTAATTCCATAGTCGTAGTGTATAATCCCTAAACCTAACCCTTAAACCTCTAACCGCTAAACACCAAAGCCCCTAAGCCACTACGGTCGATGATATAAATCCTTACTAAGGAATGTACCATAATTCCCATAGTCTAGGGTCTTTAAAGTAATGCAGGATTTAGATCAGCAGCCGCTGTATCGACCCTTCGGGATACAAGATGTGTAGCTCACCTGCCCTGAGGGTCCATGTTCTCCCATGGTATATACATAGGCCCCAATGTAGTCCCTATATAGGTACTTCGGGGTCAAAGTATACTATAGCCTTCGGATACTCTCAAAGTCGTAGAGTTGCACTAGCTTAGTAGCTGAGTAGGGTAGGGTGCTGTAACACGGGACTCCTTTAAGGGATCAGGGGCGTTTAGTTTAGTAGCTGAATAGGCCGCTGGACGACAAAATGATACACAGCAGTCCAGCAATAAATGATGTCGGGAAGTTCATTGCCGACCGAGGTTGCTTTCGCACTGGCAGCGTGGTGCAGCACGTCGCAAATAGAACAAAATTCCACGTTTCTGCAACTCTACACATCGGACCGCCGTGCCCGGACGTCTCCAAATAACGTTCTGTCGGCGACTCAGGGCGACTCAGCACTTCTTTTCCTCATGGATAGCCGGATAGCCGTGGTTGTCGCATGGAGCACTCTGTTGCTCAAGGAGCCTCATCAAGTGCAAGTTGGACGGTGCTTCATCCGTGGACGACGTCGTGAGGGTCGTTCCATCAGAACAGGGGCCGAGCTAATCTTTCGGGGATTCTACAATCCTGCCGTGTTTAAAAAGTTGGGCTACGTTATTCAACCCTAAACCCCTAAACCCTAAACCCGCTTCGCAGGTTGGTGATTTTCTAGCACAGCCCTTGCACCTACCTTCGGAGCTCTTGCAAGCAGTCCAGACTTACCTTTGGTTAGTAGGGAATGGAAGAAAGGTGTAGTAATAGGGTTTAGGGTTTAGGGAAGAATGGTAGTAATTGTAGTTATAAGTGTACCCCATTCCTCCATTCCCTACTAACCCAAGGTAAGAAGATGTGCAGTTGCGGCTTTTGGCGGAGTTTTATCTTACCCTGAAGACCCATGTATGCAAACAGAATATACTTTGGCCTTAACGTACTCCGTATATGTGTATATAAATATATATATATGTATATGTACATCGGGCCTAAAGTAATATGATTTGGGTACATGGACCCTTAGGGTTAGCTAGAATGTAACGCAGTAACGCCTCCGTGGCCTGTAGGACCTTAGTTTGCAGTATGTGCGGCCAGGGGAGCAAACATAAGTCGTCGCTCCGTACAACGTAATGAGCGAGGAGCCGATGGGACATACTAAACCCTAAACCCTAAATCCTACATAAACCTAGCAGACCCTCGCGCCCTGAACCTGATGGTTTCAACCCCCACTTAATACCCTGAGACTCCATGTGCCCATACAGTAGGTAATTGGGCCAAAGGGGTCCCTATATAGGTACTTTAGGGCCTAAGTACCTACATTTTGGGTACGTGGAGCCTTTGGGGTAGGAATGGCTCCTCGACGTGGCGCCCGCATGGTAATTGCAGTGCCGGCCCTGGTCGCGTTGGCGACCTATGGCAGCTTGGCCATGAGGCAGGGAAAAATTCTCAAAGGTTAAGGAGGGACCCTTAATGGGGACCCCTACCCTGTAATGGGCTATATGATGGGTATATGATGGCTATATTAGGGTATATGACCTAGGGGTCCTTATCGGCTACCCTTCGAAATTCGTTTAGGCCTTCTGGGGTTTGGGGCTTTGGGATTTTAGGGTACACCTTAAGTCCTTTGATAGGGGCATCGATAATGAGAAGCAGATCATATCTGAGACGCTAGTTGTACCAGGAAAAAACGCAGTTTCTGGCCATGGCTCCATATTCACTGCCAGACAAACCCTTTTTCATGATAGCTGATTGCATGCAGTTGATAACAACGCATCACCCCTGAGATATCAGTCATAAGACTGCAAAACAACAATTACTCGCCCTAAACGAAAAACAAGTTAGACCCTAAACTCTCAACCTTGAATCTTAAACTCCAAGCCCTCGGTAGTGTGATATTAGGTTATCATATAGACAGTTATGCTAATTTAACACGTTTCATTATACACTCGGTAGCAGGGGCCCGAGGATGGCTCCATTTACCTCTGGGGGCCTGCGGTTTCTCTGAGAGTTCGTTGTATCATGGCCAGAACGTCCGAATACCCAAGTATCAAGATACTACGGTGATATTAATCCGGCATAACCTCAAAGACCCTAAACTCTGGGAATTGTGGTATAGTCCATATTATGGGTAATGCAGGATTTATATCATCAACCGTGGGTAGGGAAAAAAGCCCGTCTGACCTCAAAACCGTAGAGGTTTGGTACGGTTGATGATAGAAACCCTGCAGTACCCATCACAAGGAATATACCATAACACCCATAGTTTAGGGCCATCAAGGTAATGCAGGATGTATATCATCAACCGTATTGAGTTTGAGGACTATGGGTTCAGGTTTTAGGGTTTAGGCTTTA